CTTTCCCTAAACCCTAAACCCTAGGGTAGCATCTAGGGAGCCCAAAAAAGAGGCCTAGTTTTTGGGAAACCTTTGGGTCTCGAGGATAGCGGGAGCCGAAAGCAGCTGTTTGACGGCCTATCCGGGTCTCACGGACCTGGCCGAGGCTCAACAGTGCCTTTTTGGGGGGGTTTAAGTACAGGGGGCTTCTAGCGATTCTAGGGTTTAGGGATTCTAGGGCTTAGGGATTCTAGGGTTTAGGGTTTAGGGTTTCGGGTTCAGTGTTGTATAGCGGGTTTTCATGATTGGAGTAGCGGGCTTAGGGTTTAATATCGGGGCCTTAATGATTCGAAAGGGGTTGTTTACAGGCTCGCACCGGCTTAGAGTTTAGGGCTTTCGGGCCTTAGGGACTTTAGGGCTCAATAAATAGAATAGGGTTTTTGAAGGGGTTCTTGCAAAGGAGATTCGGTCCTAGAGTTTTGGGTTGAGTATAGGGTTTTAAAGTCATTCGAGTAGGGTCTCATCTGGGCTGAAAGGGACCTGTTTAGTGCCTTGGAACAGGGGTTCCTTCACGGGTTTTTGAAAAGACATCTGTAAGAGGGTTTAGGGTTTAGGTGGTAAGTAAAGGGGACTTTAAAGACCGGAACAGGGGTTTATACAGGCTGTATACGGCCCTTCTATATGGGCCTTAATCGTGTTCCTTCACAGGGGCTCTTAAACAAAAACTATACCAGGGATTAGGGCTTAGGGTTTAGGGAAGAGATCTATACCAGGGATTAGGGTTTAGGAAACAACAAAACTAATAAGCAGAGAGGCTTTAGTTCTCGCGTTTTGCTCCCACTACCGCTACTACAGAACCAAACAAGGCCCCATAGAAGTTCCTTTTTGTGGCTTATATTAGGGAATCCCAAAAAGGAACCCTAAACCCTAAAACCCTGAACTACTATGGGGCCTATGGGTAGAGAGCCCAGGAGCAAACCCCCCGAAAGGGGCCTTGAGCCCCTGAGAAAAAGAGCAAACCCCTCCTCGCTTTGAGCAAGAGGAGCCCGCCGGTTGAAGTGGTTTAGGGTTGTAGGGTTTTAGGGTTTAGGGTTGTAGGGTTTTAGGATTTTAGGGTTTAGGGTTTAGGGTTGTAGGGTTCTAGGGTTTTAGGGTTTAGGGTTTTAGGGTTTTAGGGTTTAGGGTTTTAGGGTTTTAGGGTTTAGGGTTTAGGGTTGTAGGGTTCTAGGGTTTAGGGTTTTAGGGTTGTAGGGTTTTAGGGTTTAGGGGACTTGAGTTTGAGCAACAGAGTTACGTGCTCGAGGGGGGCAGGAGCATAAGAGAAAAAAAGCGCAAACCGCTAGCAAGGGAGTAGAAATTTTGAGAGAAAGAAGGAACTAGAAAATGTGGGAAAAGGGAGCTAAACGCTCGAAAGGGACCAGAGAGTTGAAAAACAACGCGCAAGTTGCTCGAAAAGGATTTGAAGCATTGGAGAAAAAAGATGTTGAGCAGCCCGAAATTGATTGCAGCTGTTGAGAACAAGGGGAGCAAACCACTCCAAAGATATTTCAGACTTTGAGAACATGTGGCAGAGCCGCGAAAGCCGGTAGAATATTTTAGAAATGAGAGCAAACCGCGCAAAGGAACTGCGGCTGGATAATACGGAGCAAACCGCTCGAAAGGGACAAGCAGTCAAGAGGGAAAGCAAACCACTCGAAGAGACCAGAGCATTTGAGAAAAGGAGCAGGCCGATGGAACTTGATAAGGGCATTTGAGAAAAGCAGCTAAATGCGGTAAACGGGTTGGAGGATGTGCGAAAATTGAGAATAACGCTCGAATGGGGATTCGAGCCTTGGCAAAGTGCGAGCAAGGACCAAACCACTCCAAAGGGAATAGGGCGATTGAGACGGATAAAGCATCTGGCAAATAGCAGGAAACTGCTGGAAATGTTTCAAAGAATTGGAGAACAAAGGAGCAATCCGATCGAAAGGGACCAGGGAGTTTGATCAAAGCACTTTTGGAATTGTAGGCATGTCAAGGGAGGAGAAAGGAGCAAACCGCGCCAAACTCACGAGGCCGTTCGAGCAGAAGCAGCAAGCCGCTGTAAAGTGGTTAGGGGTTTAGGGTTTAGGGTTTAGGTTTGGAGTTCAAATCCGAAATGCTCCAACCCTGCCCAAACCTAAACCCTTAACCCTCCCTAAACCTGACACTCTACACCCAAATACGGCCCGTGATCCCTTACTATATCGCGCCTTAGGACCCTTTAATTACAGGCGGATCAGCTTTTGGCATGGTAGAGCCACGTTTAAACCTTGAGCCCCATGCAGCCGAAGGCTTTGCGCGGCAGCTTGGGTCAAGGCTCCAACTCATCCCTGGCGAAAGCGCAGCAAACTCTTGAGAAGATCCTCAGCTCCCACCAACGCGACGTGGATCTAGTTCAAGGGCTTCTCGGATGCCGTCTTCTAGGATTTAAGGATTTAGGAGGTAAGGGTCTACGGGTTAGGGCTGCTTGGATGACATGTTCATGCAATGTTTGTAAGGCTTCTCTACTAGCCTATAGGGGTTGTATAGGGGGGCTTGCTCTACTGATGTTCTCTCAACCTGGTTGGTGTTTTATCGGGCTTTATCATTCCACAAAGCTACAACGGGGCACTCCTACTACGGGATAGTGTTCAGACCATCAGACAAAGCACACGACAACCCTAATCCATATGCCCGAGAGCTTACTTAAACCTGAAGACTGGGCGAACTGACCTTGTCGTAACAGGGCGACCAAATATACATGATTTCTCGTGCACGGTCCAGACTTTCCAAAAGCAGCATACACCATAAAGCAGGCACATCCTCGAGCACAACGTGGCGCCGAAGGAGTAGTAGTTCCAGCAATATCAAAACAGATGGCACGAGCATGAGATTGCGATCATGCTGATGCCATGCGAAGCTGCCGATAGCAACGGCTATGACAGTCATGAGAAGACAGTCAGTCTAATTTACCCACAAAGCTTAACAAAGAAAACAAGAAGAAACTAAACCCTATAAACCCTAA